TAGCGCTGAGCTACACCCCAGCCCTAGGTAGTCCAAGCTGGCTTTGAAGTCATGATCCCAGCTCCCATAGCCTCATCAGCATTTCCTCCTGAACATGCCAGAGTTGCTTATGTGTTTTATTTTTGCTTTGAGACAAGGTCTCTATGTGTAGTTCCGACTGGCTTTGAATTCCTGATCCTCCTGCCTTAGTCTCCCTAAGGTTGGGATTATGTGTTACTATGCCCTGCTTGGATCTCTTGGGGGCGGGCAGGGGAATCAGATTTCTGAACAACAGACCTGCCTTCCCACAGTTGATTGGAATCACAGACCTCTGGCCACCCCGGGCCATGTCTGAGCATGGGTTCTGCCATTTCTACCTCTTCCTTCAAGGATTCTAAATTGACCATGTCAGCTGCTATCAGAGGGCAGCAGAGTAATGTGGCCACAAGTGTGTGTTTCCCGGTTACATTGTCTCCATTCAGACCCTGAGCAACTTGGCCTCTTGTAAATAACTCTGTCTCAAGGGGCTCCAGTGGTCCTCACGGGCTGGGCTGCCGTGTGGAGTAAGTAAGATGGAAACTGTGTATTTTAGAACTCATAAATGTTGGCTGTAACTGGTGGTTAGCATTGCTATATATTGATTCTTTGTCCATTTACGGAGCTTCCCTGACCTCTGTGGCACTTAAGCTTAGAAAAAACCTGGGGTCAAGGATGTGGTGGCCTCACCTTCTCCCTGCTGGCTGTCCCAGTACCTGGCTGTACAGCAGACTGACTACAAGGTAGGGAGTCTTCCAAGGCCACAGACCGACAGACCTAAGGGCTTGTTCTGCTCGCCACCCCTGCGGGGACTGGGCCTTGGTTAGTACCACACAGGTGGGAAACGCTAAGTGAGAGACTGTAGCTCTTTTGATTTAGTTCACACAAGCCAAGTTTTTTAAAAGATATATTTATTTATTGAGATTTATTTATTATATATGCTTGCATGCCAGAGGGCGGTACCAGATCTCATTATAGATGATTTTGAGCCACCATGTGGTTGCTGGGAATTGAACACAGGAAGGACTTCTGGAAGAGTAGCCAGTGCTTTTAGCCTCTGAGTCATCTCTCTCCAGTCCTACAAGATAGTTCTCGTTCTCTCTCTCTCTCTCTCTCTCTCTCTCTCTCTCTCTCTCTCTCTCTCTTTAGTTTAGTTTTGTTTTTGTTTTTCGAAACATGGTTTCTCTGTATAGCCCTGGCCATCCTGGAGCTCACTTTGTAGACCAGGCTAGTGAGAACTCACAGAGATCCACCTGCCTCTGCCTCCCAAGTGTTGGGATTAAAGGTGTGCGCCACCACTGCCTGGCTTTCTACAAGTAGGTTTCTTTTGACTTTTTAAGACAGAGTTTGTCTGTAGCTTTGAAGCCTGCCCTGAAACTGGCTCTGTCGACCAGGCTGGCCTTGAATTCACAGAGATCCACCTCTCCTGAGTGCTGGAATTAAATGCATGCGCCCCACCGCCGGGCTACAAGGTAGTTCTTAGCAAATGGCTGGTATTGTCTTGTGAGCATTGTTCCTCTCTGAGGCTATAAACTCAGATGCCTGGCCTTCCATGACTCCCCTTGGAGTTCCCCCACTCTCTCCTGTCCTGTTCATGCTTGTTCTGTGGAGGCTAAGGCCCCACCCAGCTAGGGACACATAGAGAAGGGACCATAGGGAGGGCAGACAGGAGCTCCCCAGCTACTCTGCCATTTTCTTGGCCCTGCTGCCCTTTAGTCTTAGGCTAGCTCTGCAGATGATCACAGGGTAGTCACAAAGGCCCCCCCTGGGCCAATTGCTTTGGCATCATGCTGATTGACTATTACCAGATGGCAGGGCTGTTGCCAGCGGGAGATCTGATAGTCTGATTCTGATCACTGCGTCGTGTAGGAGACACCTCGGGTGTTACTAATTCTTCCTGTGCTGTGACTGTTCAGGCTAGCGGACATTTGAAGGGAGGTCTTTGCAGTAAGTAGGACACTTTGGGTCACGAGTTATTGATGCCAAATGCGTGATCAGGAAGGCTGGCATTAGCAAGAGTCATCCCTCAGGAAAGCCAGAAGGTCACATCAGTCTCTTGAGGACAGGGAAGGACACTGTCTCTGTCAAGGCGGTACCCATTATTCCGTGTGTATAGGTGTACCAGAGATGGGTGTCCACTCTGGTCCCTGATGTTCCTGGGTAGACACTGTGCAGCCTGGGCAATAACTTGGGGGTGATGACCTCCCCATCCTGCACACACTTCCACAGAGGGAGCCACATTGTGTGAGGGAAGAAGAGGTAGGGCTGCTAAGCCTGGGTGGGTGGGTCTGTGCAGTCCTCAGTGCTGCCTTTAGTCCCTGGAGCCCAGAACTGTCAGAAAGTTAGGGGGAGTGAGGCATAGGCTAGCCTGTTTTTTCCTTCTTCTTCTTTTTAAGTGTTCTGCTGTGATGTGTGTGGGTTTTGTGTGTGTGTGTGTGTGTGTGTGTGTGGTGTGTGTAGTGTGCGTGTGGTGTGGTTTGGATTGTAGACACAGCTGATTTGGTCAGTTTTGGCGGCAGGCTACAGGATGTTGGATTGCGTCACCCTTGGAGAGAGAGCGTGGATAAATACGCAGCCTTCTCAGCGAAGCACAGCATGCCTTCAATTTGGAGATTTTCAGTTTCACCTAAAAATAAGCTCCAGATTGTTCCGTCCTGCATTTGCTCCTCAGGCTGCCACCAGTAGGAGGGAAGACTGAGCTATGGAGTCCTGTGTAAGGTGGGCAGGGGGCACCTCCGATGTGGCAGCAAAGTTTGAAGATGGTGTTTGTGGACTTAAGAATGAACAGTGGAGTCATGGCAGGCAGGGTGGGAAGCGTAGGGAGCACGGCTTCCCCAGCCTATGGAGAGCTTCCTGAAGAGAGGAGAGGAGGTGGAGAGCCATGATGCATAAAACATTAGGGGTTGGTGCCAGGAAACAGGACCACTGTCTGGGAGGGCCTGACGTGCTGGGTAGGGGCCAGGTAAGGTCAGAGGCCAGCAAAGAGGCAGAGAACCCGGGGAGTCCAGGACCCCGGGGAACCTTCTCAGCTTAAAAGGGCGACTGAGGGCCAAGAGATGCTCAGTGGTAAAGGTGCTGTCCGGGCTGACCACCTAAATTCAGGGCCTGGAGCTGGAATCCATGTGGTGGAAGGAAAGCACTGACAGGCTGTCCTTTTACCCCTACAGGAGGCGTAGCACGTGTGAGCCCCACCCCACCCCACTAAATAAATAATTGATTGAACAGCGTGAAAGAAGGGGGAGTGTAGGCGTGGCTCAGTTGGTAGTTTGCTCACCTAGCATGCACAGAACCCTGGGTTTGATCTCCAGCATGGCATAAAGCTAGGTATGGCACCACATGTTCAAAGCCAGCTTGGGCCTGTTTCAAAACAAAACAACAGCATCCTCTCCCCCCCCCCACACACACAAGGGAATTTAGAAGTAACCAGTGGGACTGGAATTGAGCCTGGGGGAGGCCTGAGTGCCAGGCAAAGGGGTAGGAGTTGGGGGAGAGACTCTATGTTATTGTTTCTGATATGGGCACCAGGGGACATTTGCAGCCCTAAAGGGCCTTGTGGGTGGGTAAATTGGGACATGGCCCTGGGGATGGTGGTAAGGAGGAGGAAGGGTCATTGTGAAAAATAGGCTCCACCAAGAGTCTTTGGAGAAAACAGGTTTAGGGTGAACCTGGCTTGTTTGCAATGGGTAGAAGAGTCACATTGGGTCTGGGCTGCTTATAGACATACCTAGGCGTGATTGGGACAGGTGTTAGTATCCTAAGGCAGGTTGGGTTTTTGTGCCAGGTTGGCTAGAGAGGTACCGGCCAAGGCAGCAGGGTGTGGCTGCAGAGAGCTGACCTCTAGGTGCTGAGGAGGCTCTTGTGTAGCCGAAGCCACAGGGCACCCCCTCCCCCGACTCCTTTGCCCACTGTGCCGTGTCCACATTTACAAGGGTGACCATGACACTTCTCAGAGCTCCACTGTGGAGCTGCGGACAGGAGAGACTCCTGTGTGCCTTCCTGTCCCTGGTGGTGGTTAGGGCATAGGCACTGAGGAAGAAAGGGGCATGGTTCTGCCCAACATGGAGCTCTGTGGGCCTGGAAACCTGCCCTCAGGGTGCCATCTTACTCACACTCCCAGGGAAGCCACAGAAAGTGTCCCGCACGAAGTTGGGTCCAGCCTTGACCCTCTTTTGGGCCTTATTGTTTCTCTTGAGAGTGCTACAGCCCAACTCCAGTGGTCCCTGATCACCTGGGTCCTGATGCCCACATTTCTGCAGAGGTCAGGCTTCCACATTCTCTCCCAGAATCCCCTTTCTGAACAGTCATGACTCGGGTAGGGTTGGAGACCCCAGAGTCTGAGGTGTCCAGATACTACCACTGAGTAGTGGAAAGTGGATGTGGGGGACCACCAGCCCATCCTGACAAGGGGGGCCCTCTGATGTTTCAAGTAGGGGCTGGAAAGGGCCAGTGGGGGGTGGTAGTATTTCCGCCTTTCTCAGAACTGACTGTGTGTGAATATATACTTTCTAACCTGTATCTCTTGGGCTCTTTGAAGATTCAGGGGAGGGCTAGGGTTCTAGCTCAGCTGGCAGTTCCTGCCTAACATGCATAAAGCCCTGAGGTCCCCTGCATCACATAAACCACCAGCACAGAGTGCATGCCTATAATATCAGCACACAGGCGGTGGTGGAAGCAGAGTTTGGAAGCTGAATATCATTCTTGGTCATGTAGCAAATTCTAGATTTTCTTAGACGCCATGAGACCCTATTTAGTGAATAGATCCAGGGAATTGGGTGTGGTGATACATCCTCATAAAGGCCAGCCTGTCTCAAAAGTGAGGGAACGCAGGGGCCCACTATGGGAGTGGGGCATGGAGTTGGAACCCTGGTGACTTCAGGGTGTGTCCTGGGTGGTGCTGAGAACTCAGGCACCAGGGTCAGGGCCAGTCTGACATAGACACCTCCTTTCCAAGGTGGCTCACTGTCTTGCTGTCCTTCTCTTGGCAGAATGCAGAGCCTGAGCCCCGGAGCCTGTCCCTGGGCGGTCATGTGGGGTTTGACAGCCTCCCTGACCAGTTGGTCAGCAAGTCAGTCAGCCAGGGCTTCAGCTTCAACATTCTCTGTGTGGGTAAGTAGTGGCCTGGCCAGGGGCAGAAGATGGTGCTCACTGTGCTGGCCACCTATCAAGCTGGGGAGACCTTGGGTTCAGGCTTTGGTCTTGCCTCTGCCAGGATCAAGAGCAGGACTAGATCCAGGACCTGACTCAGTCGCCACAAAGAGGAAACAGAAGTGGGTCCATGAAAGTGCTGCCTACACTGGGTGTTTATCAAGAAATTCAGTCACTAGTTCATTCATTTATTAAAAACAAACACTGGCAGGGCTGGAGAGATGGCCCAATGGTTAAGAGCGTGGCTGCTCTTCCAGAGGACAAGACATCTGTTCCCAGCACTGATGTCAGGTGGCTCACAACTGCTTATAGCTCCAAGGACCTGACACCCTCTTTCTGGCTCCCATTGGTACCTGCACATACACGCACATGCACATATAAATAAAAATAAATCTTCAAACACTTCTCTCCCTACTGTGGGACAAAGATACAGTGTTGAACGAGACCCTGCTTGGTCACCAGATCACAGGGTGAATCTCATGTGCACTTTGGAACAAACACAACCTGACTGGGGAGGCTCCAGGTGTTCAAGGCCCAGGACTCCCAGAGGCACAAAGACTATGCAGGGCCCTCTGCAGGTATCCCGTAGGAAGAGGCTACAGGGACAGCTCCTGGTGGTTTCAGGTCCTGTTCCTGTGGAGTCATGACCACCTTGGCCTAAGAAGGGTGATGTTCAGAACAGGCTGTATGTTTTGTGACTAGGTCCCCTTGAAGCCTAGTCTCAAAGCACAGTGGTATCTCCATAGCCTGGTACTGCCTTTTCCCCACTCCCTGGGGAAAAGTCACATGCCTTGCCTAGCCATGTCTTACATCAAAGGCTTCCTTTATGACTTTCTTCTGAATATTGTTTTCTTTCTTCTTTTTTTTTCTTTTCCTTTCCCTTTCTCCCCCCACCCCTTTTAAGAATGTATTCATTTTATTTGAGGGAGCACATGGCAGTGGAAGTCAGGGGACAACTTGGAGTCACTTCTCCCCTCCTACCATGTGGGTCCCAGGGATTACACTTGGGTTGCTAGGCTTGGCTGCAAGTGCCTTTACTCACCGAGCCATTTCACAGACCTTTTTGGGCTTGCTTCCCTTCTCTCATTCTGGAGTTGAGGGTCTTTGAGCCCCCCTCATCTAGCTGCCGGCTAGAGATGGCCCTGGTTCTAGACTTTGATATTCTCCTCTCTTCCCGCTGTCCTCACTCACCAGGGGAGACTGGGATCGGCAAGTCCACGCTAATGAATACACTCTTCAACACAACTTTTGAGACCGAGGAAGCCAGTCACCATGAGGAATGTGTACGCCTGCGGCCTCAGACCTACGATCTCCAAGAGAGCAACGTTCATCTCAAACTGACCATCGTGGATGCTGTGGGCTTTGGGGACCAGATCAATAAGGATGACAGGCAAGAGGCGGGAAGGGCGGCTCCACCCTAGCCTTGGCCACCCCAAACTGATTGACCCTCATCCTAAAACTTCCCAATCACTTCCTGCTTCAAACTGCCCCATACATGTAGTGCTAAGGTGACCTAGGAAGGCTGCGGGGGAAGGGCTGAGGTCTTGGGCCATTGACAAACCAGTTCTTCCTCTAGGAGGGTATAAGAAGGGGTCAGTCAGCCTCCTATACTAGATAGGGCAGAGCTGCTTCCAGGGAGGGGAGTGGGGATAGCCTGGCTGGGCTCTAGGCTGCCCTTGCTGCAACCAGCGTCTGCCTCCCAGGTGATGAAGCTGTCTGTAGTTACAGGCCCATAGTTGACTACATCGACGCACAGTTTGAAAACTATCTCCAGGAGGAGCTGAAGATCCGCCGTTCCCTCTTTGACTACCATGACACGAGGATCCATGTTTGCCTCTACTTTATCACGCCCACTGGGCACTCTTTGAAATCCCTGGATCTGGTGACCATGAAGAAACTAGATAGCAAGGTACGTACCCTCCTTGTCACCTGACCTCTGCCATCTACCTCTGGAAGGAAGGCAGTGTGGTGACTGCTGTTGGTCACCCTGTGGTCAGCTTGGTCCTCTCTGGCTACTTCAGTGGTCCTCACTGAGCTTTTCAGAGCTTCGTTCTCAGCAACTTCCTTCTCACTTGGAGCTCTGCTTTTTGTCTATTTATTTTCCTTGTACAATGACGAACCCCTCCTGCAGAGCCTCTGCCCAGTGTCCCTCTTCCATCCAGCCTCTCATCTCTAGTTCCTCTCCTCATTTCTTTCCTGTCTGACATGGCTCCCCCTGGCTCTCTTCTGAGCCACTAGGAGAGGAGAATGACTCAGATGGAATTATGAATGAGGGTAGAGAGCAGTTTCATGGGGTGTCAGCAAGGTCTGGGGGTCCTGGAGGACCCGGGCCCTCTTAGTTCTCTCAGCCCTTGTGACTGCCTTTCCATCTCAGGAGTTAATTGTCACCATGAAAAATAGGGTAACCTTGGCCTGGGAGAGTTCCAGGTTTTTTCCATAGCTGCTATTCCTGGGTCATCTTGCCTGCTTAGTGGTTGGCTTGGCCACCACTACTGTTTCTGTCTGACCCAAGGCCAATTTGGACCTTTAGAGCATCCTGGGTCCAAGCTACTTGTTAGGGTTCCTGATATCACAGTGGCCGCAACTGATCATTGGAGCCCCTGTCTTCCTGATTTTCTGCTCTTGGTGCTTGTCCATGGTCAGTGATCATTACTCAAGATAGGCAACTAACCTGCTGCCCCCCGACCTTCACAGGTGAACATAATTCCCATCATTGCCAAGGCCGACACCATCTCCAAGAGCGAGCTCCACAAGTTCAAAATCAAGATCATGGGTGAGCTGGTCAGCAATGGAGTCCAGATCTACCAGTTCCCCACAGACGATGAGGCTGTTGCAGAGATCAACGCGGTCATGAATGTGAGTGCTGGGCAAGGGCCTCAGGGCTCCCGAGTCAGAGGGCTTGGGGACGCCAGTCTGAGACGGGACTCAGCTTCCCAGAATGTTATCCTCAGAGGGCTTGGGGACACCAGTCTGAGAGGGACTCAGCTTCCCAGAATGTTATCCTCAGAGGGCTTGGGGACACCAGTCAGAGAGGGACTCAGCTTCCCAGAATGTTATCCTGCACAGGGTGGGTAGGCGTGTATGCCTCCCAGGCCTGAATTCTGTGGGCACCAGACTAGAGGATTTGGATTTTAGGTTTGCACTAAGGGTCCCCTGATCTGCATGTCACAGGTAAACTCGGGGTGGGAATGTGATATCTGAAGGAGCAAGTACATATATGACCAAGGGTCACAGGTCCTGTCAGAGAGCTGTGCTGGCCTGAGACGAACACACCACAGACAGGAAAACCCAGTCGGAGTCTAGAGCATTTCTCTGAGAGAGACAGGAACTGAGCCTCTAACCCTTGTAAAAGAGCCTTGTCAAAGGCGGTGGCCCCTCCCTAGGGTGCAGGGGTGTGAGAAAGTCTGCCCCCTTGTTCAGCACAGCGCTCACATATATACCTGGGCCCCCTTTTAGGCACACCTGCCTTTTGCTGTGGTGGGCAGCACAGAGGAGGTGAAGGTGGGCAACAAGCTGGTTCGAGCTCGACAGTACCCTTGGGGAGTGGTGCAGGGTGAGTGTGGGGTGAGCCTCTCCCCAGCTGGGGCCTCAGCTCAGTCTCCTCGTGTCCTGCCAGCCGAGGCCCTAACCACTGTCCTGCTACCCTCTGCCCATCTTCATGGCTGCCTCACTCTGTGGAGCTCTTTGAGGCACGTGGCCACTCTCCTGTTGTTCCTCTGCCTGTTTCCATGACTGTTTCATGCTGTGGGACCGTGAAGGCATCCAACCACTGTCTGGCTGTACCCCCAACCATCTGCATGTTTGTCTTGCTCTGGGGAACCACCAAAGCCCCCTGACCATTGTCTTGCTCCCCCCCTGCCGATCTGCACACCTGCCTCATGCTGCTTCGGAGCCACCAAGGCACCCAAGTCCTGCCCCACCGTCCCCCGCCTGTCTCACGCCTCTCACACCCCTGCTTTCAGTGGAGAACGAGAACCACTGCGACTTCGTGAAGCTGCGGGAGATGTTGATTCGGGTGAACATGGAGGACCTGCGGGAGCAGACCCACAGTCGGCACTACGAGCTCTACCGACGCTGCAAGTTGGAGGAGATGGGCTTCCAGGACAGCGATGGTGACAGCCAGCCCTTCAGGTGATAGCCTGTGCTGTGCTGCCTCAGCCCTCTTGTCACACCAGCACTTGCTCTCTCAGGCCTTGTAAGCCCGAAGGCAGAGGCTGGTGGGAGCCCCGAATCCTCTTGTCCCCAGCATCTCCCTGGCTCTATTGCTCTTGACAGCCCCACTTCTACCTTTGGCCTCTCCTTTGGGTCTCCACAGCCTCCAAGAGACATATGAGGCCAAGAGGAAGGAGTTCCTGAGTGAGCTTCAGAGGAAGGAGGAAGAGATGAGGCAGATGTTCGTCAACAAAGTGAAGGAGACAGAGCTTGAGTTGAAGGAGAAAGAACGGGAGGTGTGTGTCAGGCCTCGCTGCGGAGAGGAAGTGCCAGGGCAGGCTGGCTGATGGGGAGGTAGGGGACCTAGTCTGCCCATACCCAGTTGCCTCCCTTCTTCCCCCTCCTCCCCAGCTCCATGAGAAGTTTGAGCACCTGAAGCGAATCCACCAGGAGGAGAAGCGCAAGGTGGAGGAGAAGCGCAGGGAGCTGGAGGAGGAGACCAAGGCCTTCAACTGCAGGAAGGCAGCCATGGAGGCCCTGCAGTCTCAGGCCTTGCATGCTACTTCACAGCAGCCCTTGAGGAAAGACAAGGACAAGAAGAAGTAAGTGGCATCTCCCCTGGGCTATCTCCTTACACCCGCTCTTTGCCCCCGGGGTCACTGCTCAGCCTCCCGCTCACCGCGGTCTGCCCTTACCACCTCACTTGCTCTCCACCGTGCACCTCCATCTTGTTCTCCACTGTGTACCTCCATCTTGATCTCGCACTTTGATCTTGCACTAGTCTTCTCGCTGTCTCACCGTCTAGATCTCTCTCTCTCCTCCTTCATCCTCCCCCAGCATCCTCAGCATCTGAATCCTCTTCCCTGCTTTTGTAGTGAAGGAGCTGGGTCACATGGGCAGCCAGTAGCAGGGGACAGCCAAGCAGGTATAGCCACAGGATACTGGGATAAATCTGTCTGGCCAGGAGAGGGATGAATGTGGGACTGTCCTCGTTTCCTTCTGGCTTCTAAAAGACCCTGTGCTTCTGCTTGAGCAGCTGTGGCACATGTCCCCTGGGCCTCTGAGGCTGGGGTTGTGGAACTCACGTTAGCGGGTAGATGGTGACGCATGGCAGCAGGGACTCATCAGGACAGGTCAGTCACCATTGCCGCAGTCCCTGTCATCTCTGTGCAGCTGCTTTGGAAGGCTTGCAGGACTGGAAGCGTGGTGGCTCCCTGCAGGGCTCCAGGACCGTGCGCAGAGAGTAGGGTCTGTAGAGTAGAGAGTGACAGGAGACAAGGAGGCTCTTCCCAGGTGTGTCAGCTTAAGGACACAGGATTCCCAGTCATGTTTCCTTAGCGGTTCTCTTTGCTTGCCCCACCCCTCGCCCCTGCTGCCTCCTTTTCTTTGCCTTCTTTTTCAAAAAACAAAAACAAAACTATTTATTATTATTATTATTTTTGTGACTGTAAGGACTAAGCCCAGGGCCTTGCACACGCTAGATAAGTTCTTTACCACTGATCTACATCCCAGCCATGTTGGTGTCCTCCGCAGTCCTTTCCCGTGTTCTAATCTGGAGTCTGGTACCCTGTCTGTGGTGACTCCCAGTCTCCTGCTCTATTTCATTCAGAAACTCAGGTGGTCCCATCCACCTCAGCATCTGGGTGCATGAACTCAACTATGTCCTGCCTCACCCCTAGGTGGCACCCCCCCCCCACACACACACACACACACTACACACACACACTTTCCTGCCTCAAACTTAAAGTGCTTCTCCCTGGGGCAGACACAACACTTAGGACTAGATGCACACTGTGGTTCCCAAGGTTTGTTCTCTGCTTTGGGGCAGGGGTTCCCCTTTTATGGTCTTCCCCATCCTGATGCCTGACAGCCCATCCCAGCTACCTATTCCCAGAGGATCCTAGGCCCATTTGCCCTCAGTCTGGAGAATTTTACACTTGCTTTCAGCCCTGGTCCTATGCTCAGCCCTTGGTTTGGTGAGTGTGGAGGTTGAGGTGTAACCAGTGTGGGCTTTAAGCTGGCAGCTCAGAAATGACCCTTCTGTGAGGGAGACATGGGACAAAGTCTGTATATTCAAAGTGACTTTGCCCTGCTCCCTGCCAGCTTGGCCCAGGCAATCTTGTGAAAGTAGACAGTGTCCCCAAATAAGAAACTAGGAGAAGCCCCAGCGCCAGCCAGGTGTGGTAGCATATGCTTCTGTTCCCAGCTTTGGGGAGGCAAATGCAGGAGGGTTGCTCTTAACTTTGAGGTCAACCTGGGCTATGTAATGACTTGCTAACTAGCCTGGGCTACATAGCAAAGATCCTGTCCCAAAAAAGAAGAAAGAAAGAAAGAAAGAAAGAAAGAAAGAAAGAAAGAAAGAAAGAAAGAAAGAAAGAGGAAGGGAGAGAGAGGGGGGGGAGAGGATAGAGCAGCTTAGGGTAGAACCCCATTGTGAAGAAACAGCTCTCAGTAGAAGCCTGCCTGCCCCAGCTGTCTGGTCTCCTGGAATATTGTTTCCCAGATCTGGGTCTGAAAGGCCAGCGCTTTCTCTTGGATGGTTACACTAGAGAGCTTCAGTCAGTTTGACCCTGGGAGAGGGGACTCTGTACCTGTGAAGCTAGAGTTGGGGTTCAGGGGTCACTGGCCCCGTGGGATAGGGTGGGCCAGGCTTGCATTTGGGGAGTGGGTGTTTTCATGGCCATTTCATGGCTTTACTTGGTTTGTACTCAGTCTTTAAATTTTAATCAATTTTTGCGAAATTACTTCCCAATCAGATTTTGACCCTCAGCCCGGGACGCCACAAACTGAAGCGAGTTCCCTGCTTTGCTCGTCACAAATGCCAAACTGACTGCCCTTTCCCAGTGTCCACCTTGCTGTCTTTTGCTTCTGTTTGATTTGGTCTGCGTATCTTTTAATGTGTCTGTTTTTGTTTTGTTTGTTTTGTTTTATTTTTCAGTTAAAGCACGCACAGACTTACATGTCAAGAGCGGACTTTAGACTATCATGTGTTAAGTTGCTTGAGTTACACCTTGTGGCCCTTCTCTCATAACATGGTGTGAGGATGGACTGGGAGCCGGTACAGACTCCAGTGTTTACAGCCTTGCCTTGGCCCCCCCGGCTGGCCCCCGGCTGCCTGGGCCTGGCCAGCCACCCCTCTCTATGCAAACGTGTCCGAGCCATGAATGCTGGAATCCCAAACTGACAAGGTTTATTTTTTCCAGAGCCGGTGGCTGGTCTTCCATTTACAGTGTCACTATTCCCTGACGGAGCAGCTGTGTGCCACTCTAGTGATGGCTCCCAGTGGTGACTCACGTGGTGCCCTAGGCGTGGCCTGTGGTCCGGTATATACACACTCGCTGCAGAATTCGCCTGTTTCCCCTTCATTTTAATTTTTCTAACCTAGAGCTTAATTTTAATAATTTTGAAACACTTCTAAATTTTTATTTTGGCACCAGTATAAAGACAAATAATATCTACCTTTCCCATTATTTTTATAAGTAACACAGATTCCCTGACTTTTTTTTTTTAAACTAAAAAGATCTCTAAACCTTCTTACATAGAAAGCAGCCCTATAACATAGGGAGAGGTGGGAAATAAAGTTCCTATTCTGGCAGTGTTTGGAACTTCTTTCTGGACTGCAGTGGACCCCGAACAAGACCACGCCCAGCGTTTTTACTGTGAATGTAAATGGAACAGCAGCCCAAACCCTTGTCTCTGCCCTCGAGGTGCTACCTGTGCAGGGACCAAGTGCATGTGTGTTAAGTGTCTGACTCCAAATAAGCCACCTGCTCCCGACCAGCGTGCTCAGCTCAGCATCGGGGAGAGGGCTGTCATGTCAAGGTCATTGTTACTTCTTTCCTGGCCGAGTCATGGTGCAAGAAAATAACAGTGTCTGAAGTATTAGGACAATTTGGCGGGGGAGAAAAACAAAAGCCTGGGGGCTAAGAACGTCCCCTCCAGCTCTGGCTTCCAGGTGAACACTTTTAAGAAAGTGGCTGCCAGGTGGGATGGTGCAGGCCTGTGATGCCAGTGCTTGGGAGGTGGTGGGAAGCTAGAGACAGGGCTCAGTTACAGTGAGGTAGAGGCCAGCTTGGGCTACATGAGACCCTGTCTCAAAAATAAAAGCAAGGAAAGTACTGAGAAAACCCATTCTGCTCTGTTCCTGATGGTTTGCCAGCCTCAGGGTTGTTGGTGCAGCACCAGCTGGACATCAGGCTCCCCAGAAAGATCGGCTGCATTCCGAGGAGCTGATCACCCAGGGGCTTCTCACTGAGAGCCTGAGGGGTCCACACCGATTCATGCTGCGTTCAGATTTTTATGCCCCCATCTCCCTCCACCATTTCCCCCTTCCTGCCAGGCCTGCCTCTATTCGTCCAGGACCAGTCTGGCTTCTTCCTGTCCTGAGATGATGGCTCGTTCAGAGTGAGCTGGAGGGGAAGGTTGTTGTGGGTGCACTGTGACAATACCTCCCCAAAGGCCGCTGTGCTGTGAGAGGCTCCACACAGCAGGAGAAATGCATTTAGTGATGCTCTAAGGAAAAGATCCTCCGTGATCAGGGTGCATTCTTGGCCAAAAGTCTGGACTCTCAAACTCTTTAGAGAGGCCGTTTTAAGCAAAAGAAGCTAACATTCAGCTCAGGCCTTGGAAGCCTTGTGAGCGTCACAGCTAGTCCACCTCTGGTCATGGCAGAGCTGATGCTGAACTTTGTGTCTGAGGCAGAGGTGAACTGTAGGCTAGTGGCTCCTCTTAGGGAAATTGTATATCTGAAGGTGTATTCACTTAGGTTCAGCCTGACCTTCAGAGCAGCCTCTCCTAGCCAGTCTATTTCGAGACTAGGATGACCCAGCGGGTCCACTGCTGGCTCAGAGTCCATGCTGGGGACTCTGGAGCCAACAAATCCTACCACCGGCACCTGCAGCGCAGCAGCCACAACTCAGGCATACTGGAAGGCTGTTATGGTCAGTGCCTACCTTTTGGCCCAAAGCTTGCTGGCATCCCTGGGGAGACTTGACTTGCATTTTCTAGGGTCTGAGTTGCTCCCCATGGATCCCGTCAGTCATGGCAAGTGTTTCCCCTGCTACATGGGATTTTGTTATCTTTAGCTGAGGTTAAATTAATCCTTGGTGTGCAAGAAAAACGTGAAGCTTGCCCCTCAAGGCTGTGACCCGCGTGTACAGCTGGGACTCCCTCCTCTTTCTTCCCTGTCGTTTGTTGGCTTCATGGGACTGTCATAGGATCACGTTGACATTTGCTGTTACGTTTCCCTTGAGCCATTTCGTGTTGTGGTAGAGTCACCGTTTAAGATACGGTTCAGACCTGGACTTCTGAGAGAGAAAAGATCCTGTTAATAATCATGCCAAATCCTAGGCACTCAGGAGGCAGAGCTAGGAGAATCACAAGTTCAAGGCCAACTTGGGCCACTGAGCAAGACCCCATGTTAAATTAAAAAAAAAAAAAAAAACTGGACAGCTTGCCTAGCATGGTTGGGGACTGATTTCTCTCCCAAGTCAACAGCCACCGAGCAGCTGTATCCCAGGCCAACCAGGGTGTGTGTTCTCCCTCATGCTGGGAGTCCTGAACCTTGTGGTTGTACAAACTGGCCCTGTATATGTTCCTGTGTGTTTGTGTGTGTGTGGACTCCCCTTGTCTGGGGCTCCTACTGGGTAAGCAGCCCAGGAAAGCCAGCTTGCCTGTCTATGACGTTACCATGCATCTCTAAAACCACTTCAGTTGTTAATCCATTTACTCCTCCACCCATTGACTTGTTTCTGTTCCTTCCCATCCACTTTGTACTCATTTGTTTTCATTAAATTTTGCATTTATTTTGAGTTTTTTACAGTGTCATTTTTGGGCAGTAGCTTTTCTGATTCAAGTTTCTTGAGCATATTAATATCCCCAGTACAGCCTGCTTCCGCTGTGACCTCTGTGGGGGCAGAGCTCCCGACAGAACTCTGTTTCCTAGCGAATCATGATGCAGACACTGTGAAAAGCTGCAGGTCCGAGACTGAGGGAAGGTAGACCCTGCCCTCAAGGAGGTTACATCTTTGTTCCAAAAGCTTGGCTTGAGACAGCTCATCCTATGTGTGCTCATCTCTTGTAATGACATGCTCTGACGTCTCTAATCCTCACCGTCCTATGGTCAGATACTAGTACTGCCCCCAGTTAGTAGGGCAAGTCCCAGAGGTTCCATAATTTCCCAAGGCAGCACAGCAAACAAGTGGACGAGCTGCGATTTGAATATTGGTTATCTGTATCCTTAATTCCTGAGCTAAAGCTGGACAGTCCATCAGGACCACTGGGCAAGGGTGGAAATGGGGTCATTGTTTGAAGTCTGATGGTTTTGTGGAGGTGGGAAGCTTTGGGAGACGGAAATGTTTGGATGAAGGCTGGACTGGTGGTTGGAGAGAACAAGTTGCCTCTGGTCTTTCTCCCATCTCCACCTCCTCTGGCCTCAGGCCTTCGCTAGCCCCTGGCCCTCCTAGGTGGGGACAGAGGAAGGTGGATTGTGTTCAGATTAGACAACCACGGGGATTCCCATGTGTGTGTTGAGACGAGGTGAGTTCCTGGTAAACAACGAAAAGGCAAGCAGAACAGACCCCTGATGGAGTCTTAGCAATGGCAGCATTTGGTGCCCAAGAAGAGCTACTTCATCTGTAGATATGCCGGCAACAGGCCACGCTTTCTCCGTGAGCTTAGGAATAGGATCAACTGGGGGGCGGGGGGGGGACATTTTACAGCTAGAGCCACCTGGTTGATAGGCCTAGGTGCTATGCAGCAGACACCCAGTGTCACAGGATACCCACACTGGTGTGAACACTTGAGATGAACTCCTGTCCCATCCACACAGTGTCTTCTTGCACATGTTGGCCTCTGGATGGAGCAGCAAGAGGCCAGTCAGTATATTACCTTGCTAGCCTGCCGCATGTAGCTGGATGTCAGCTTTCTGGTCACTGTCAGCAAATACCCTTATCCCTGTTTTCTCCTAGTCTTCCCAGGACCTACCTGGAGGACAGTTATTGACAGGGCCCAGAGGACAGGGTTCCAGGTATATATGACTAGCAAGAGGTGCACAAGAGTCCGTTAATAGAAAGGTCTCCAGCAGCACTGAAACCATTCGAAGTGTGCTTTTACAGACACCTCAGACAGCCAGATGTGGTGCCATGTGCCTGCAACCCAGAACTCCAGAGGTTGAAGCAGGAGGATTTTAGCTTTGAGGTCAGCCCGGGCTGCAATGGAGGGGTGTGCTGGTGAAATGACTCACCAGGTAAGCCTGCCAACTTGAGTTTGGTTAACTTGAGTTTGGTTCCCTAAGACCCATGAAGTGGAAGGAAAGAATTAACTCCCGCAAATTGTCCTCTGATGTCCACAGAATAAATAAGTGTGTGCGTGGGGAAGCTCCAATAAGCAAAACCAGAGGAAAGGCAAAATGGCACCCTACCTCACAGTGTGGCCTGTCTGGTCCCTGACCACACAGTGAGCTTCTGGCAACACACTGTACCCACCCCACCCCCACCCCATGGCTTAGCACACTTAGAAAAGAGCTGCTCACAGTGACAGAGTTTCATGGACCACCTCTAAATTTATGGCCCAGTCATTCAAGTCCCCAGTTTGGGGACTGACACAGATACAGCCGGCATCTTGGCCAGCTGGGCTCCACAGCTTTACGACTGGCTTCAGACAGGCAGCTGGCTTCTTCCCTGCCATCTGTGCAGGTGTCCTCCTGGCCACAAGGTAGTCAGGGCAGGCTGGGCTCAGTCACCCAGCCAGCAGCACAGGACTGTGCATCCCCTCGGCATGTGCCACAGAAGCATCCTTAGCGTGAAGTCCTCTGCACGAGGGGCTTCAGAGTCCAGAGGGGGAAATGGCACTGCTCTCTCATCCGGACCTGAGGAGAAGCTTTTAGAGGGAGCTGGGTGACTGGGACTAAAGTGCTAGCTACTTTTGTGTTTGGGACAAGTCTAAGAAGCTGGAGGGACCTGGCCAAGCCTGGCAGGTAGAACCAGAATCGGTCTGTGAGGGAGCAAGGTGTGGTGGCGCACACCTTTAATCCCAGCATTGGAGATGCAGAGGCAGGTGAATCTCCATGAGTTCTGAGCCAGCCCTGGTCACATAGTGAGACTCTGTCTCAGAAAATGAGAGAAGCCTGAGGGCTGGCCACACCCTTTAGGCTCCCCGGTTTCCTGGTTCCAGGGGACAGGAAGGGATGGCAGGGTCACAGCTTCTTCAGGGCCACCTTACCTCTTCTGGTTCTGATCTAACCTGAGGACCAAGTAGGTTCCCCAGTGGTTCTTCTAGAACCTTCTCCCAGTCTCATGAGAAACGTAAAACCAAAGAATTTACAGGCATGCAAGCAGGGTGAGTTCCCACAGGTTCTGGAGGCCTCAGAGCGATGGCAGAGAGCCGGCTGACAGGTGAAGCAGAGTTGGCGCAGGAGGGTAACCACGACTTCTCGGGTGTGGCTTCACAAGCACCTCACAGCCACCATACTGCTCAGCCCTGGCAGTGTCAGCATGGTAACCTTGAAACAGTCATCTCAGGTACGGAGCAGTCGGTGCCAGGATGATCACGTGGCTCATTTTGAGCACGGTGATCCCACTTCATAGCACTAACTCCCATCCTAGGAGCCCTCACCTCCAACCTCAGTTAACTGCCATTAATCTGCCATTCCATCCTAATCTGTCCTGAGAGCTGCTGACACGGCCCCCACTCCGTGCCTGTCACCACACGCTCATGTAGAAGGAAGGTCTGGATGTTATAATCCTCCATATTAAGCACCCGGATCCTCTGCCCATTCCCGATCGCGGCCATCAGACTGTGTTCTTGTTCCTCACTACCAAAATCCCTGTCCTGTGAGTTCAAGGTTTGCCATATCGGGGACCACAGAGCATGATCATATACAGAGCATGGCCTACGGTCAACCTCTTGCCGTAGCTGGCGTGCCCAGCACGTCTTCTGGAGCCCACAAAGGAACAAGGGCCATGGGCACCCCATCGAGCACAGAACATGTCAGCCAGAAGGGCCAAGCTGATGTCTACATGTGCTTTCTTTAGCAGATCAGATATAGGAGCACAGCAGTCGGGCATGAGCCTCTCCAACTCTAAGGTGATGATGACCAAAGCCAATGTGGAACCCTTGAACTGCAGCAGCTGGTGGCCCGCCATTCAGTGCTGCAGCTGCCTGGTCAGGGACGCGACGTGGAGGGAAGGATTCCTCTGAGGCTGCAGTTCTGCCACATGGGGGCCAGCTCAGGACCATCAGGGCGTGGAACTGGAGACCATGGTTGTTCACGTTAGGACAGAGCCCCACCCTCACCCCCTCGTTTTCACATATCAATAACCAAAAGTGCAAACAGTTTCTATTTCCTTCAGGGAGCATCCGGTGTGGCCCAACCCTTTCTATCCCCAGATAGTCTGGTACGTGACATGGTCACTCTGAGGCTACAGCGTATAGGTGGCCATGCTTGGATTCTGAGAAATGTGGACCTATTGTTCAAGATAAAGGGAGCAGGGAAGTGACCTGAAGAGAAACCTCCAACCTTGTCAACAGCACCAGTTTTCCATAACGAAACTGCCCGTAGCGATTTAACCTTCATGCTTCATAACAGACCAAAACACCATGCCATTTCCTCATTTGCATAATTTTGCCTTACTAACAGAAGTCCATCCTGAAGGATGGCCTCCATCCCCCTCCCCCAACTAAAACCAACACGAACCCGGCGTCTGATATTTTTTTAAGTGCCAGATCAATACGGTCTAACGCCTCAATAAGGATTGTGTGTAGGTGAATAAAGACAGCTAACTGAATGTGTGTAAAGTATAGCAAAGGCAGACAGATATTTATATACGATATTCATAGAGCGGAAAGTTAAATATTTTTGCAGTGTGTATTTAAGAGAGCAACTGACCATAATAGTGCCGTCCAATTGTCTTTGTCAAGTGAATTCTGTGTCCTTTAGACGTGAGAGTCTGGTGGAATGGCGTGGAATATAAAGAGAACATTTTTCTTCACTTCCGTATGTTGTGAGCCTTTGTGAGTCACCTCGCCGTGGTGCATGTGCAAGGACGTGTTGCACGCCTGTGCCTTGCCTGTTCTGTGTTGTAAACAGCTGTTCCAAAGGCACAGATGAGTCTCAGGGAGACTCCATAAACTTCCTGCTTATTATAACCCCGAAGCCCAGCAATGTTCCCACGTGGAGGTCCTAGTGAAGTCCGTCCGGAAGAGGCAGCCCCTTCCTCCGCAGCTCCCCCCTCCCCGGGGTCCAGCCAGAGCCACATGCTTTACGAAGTCTTTTACACGCGGAATTGACTGTAAAAAGAAAATAAAAAAGGCCAAAGCCCTGTATCATATGACAGTAGCTTTTGTTTTCTTCTCCATGGGGACTGGGGCATCCACAAACCGAGCAGACTGGTGTTCTAGTGGCCTGCCACCGAAAATGCTGCTGGAAGAAAAACCAAACCACATCTTGTATGTCTGGCAAGTCACTAGGAAGTGGTGACTCTGTAATGCACATCTCATGAACTCTCTTTGCAGAAGCTCTCAAGGCTCTACTGGCTGCTAGATCGGACTCAGAGGTGCTCCCCTGGCTGGGCCATCTGGGTTCAGGGTAAGAACTCACCCCGAGTTTCTCAGGAGTTGTGGGTTTTGCTCACTCCTCCCAATCCCAGCATAGCTACCTGGAGAAAGAAAAAAGATGCCTCCCAGCTTTGTGGACAGGCACTGTAACAAACTACCCATGGCCTTCACAGCCCTGCTCCTTCATGTTTTCCTTCAACCATAGTTTCCCTTTGGTGTGTGTATATGTGTGTGTATACACAAGCATGTGGAGGCC